TTTTAATTTGTTTCAGCATGAAGAGGATGAGGATGAAGCCGATGAAGAGGAGGGAGGGCTGAGCAAATCTGTATATTGTACAATGACCGCAATGATATGTGGAACTATTTTTACTATTATTCAAATCCTTTCTATACCCTCACAACAGTAAAACATACAACAATTCTGTTAACCACTTTGGATAATTCTTGGAGAATTCTCAAAATCCTTTAGCATATAAAACAACCAAAGCACGCTAATATTTCCTTAAAAAGAACACAAGCCCGTGCATTGCACGGGCATTCAACTACTATATATATAAGTTAAACGTATTTTAAGCACAACTTGATCATATTATTATTCCGACCTCATATGCAAAGTAACATATTTAATAACACGAATACCAATATGATTGCATATGACATGCATGTTATCCTTATCTCATATTGCCCGCATGTTGAAATTGCAAAGTTCTAAATTTATGGTGAACCTCACAACACTATAACAAGCAACTAATTTCCTAATTGATGATCATGTAATTAAATAAACAACAAAGTATACAAGATCAATCAAGAATACAAATTAACTAAATTACTTAACACAAAGAAAATCTAGCTTATCATGATTCTAATGATAAAATAATAAGGAGAATGGAAAAGAATCACCTAGAATGTACACCTACAAGAAGAAGATGCTGATCTATTTCTTGCTCTTGATCTTTAATATCGAGCCGTGATTCTTCATGTTCTTGATATTAAATTGCCATCAATTCCTTGCTAGATTTAATTAACTGTTTGAATTATGTTTATCTATATAACTAATTCTAGTGCTTTTACACTGATATTGAGTTGTCTGTTTCAGAAAACAGGTTTACAAAGAAAAAGCACATTTTAGTCAAGACAGCTGGTTTGATAGTTATAGTTGTCTTGTGTCTGTATTTTACTACATTGACTTTAGATTTTTAGTTTTGTCACAGAATGTCAAAGGAGAAGCTTGTTGCGTTTTTAATATAATTAGCAAATTTGTGAACAAAAATGACTAGAATTAATGTGTTATAAAAGTCAAGGAGTAAGTTGCAAATACTGTTAATTGAGTTGTATTAGGTCTAAGGTCCGAGAATGGAAAGAAGAAAAAAACGTTGAAAACATCAAATCCATAATCCAACAACCAAACTGCTACTTCCTACACATCCGTCAGAATTCTGAAGATTAAGGAAAACTGACTGGATTCAAGTTGTTGGAGAACGTGGAGTTCTTTGTTGATCTACATGAGATAGACAGATTCATAAAGTTAGGAGTTGGTGCAAGAGCACGCAATCCAAGAGGGCTGTGAAAATTGCAGTCAAAATGTTAAAAAATACTAGCGGTGTCGTGTCTGGCGGATTATAATGGCATGTTTGATAGGCCCCTTTTTCCATGGAAAATGGAATTGAAATTACATTTCCCACTTTTGCCATGTTTGATGGCACTTTTTTTTCCCAAGAATTCGTTTTCTACATTTGCCATCACGTGACCTTTTTTCTAATATCCATTGAATTGACAATTTTCATGTAAAACAAAGCCAAATGAAAAAAAAAAAAATTCCATTTTTTTTGGCAATTCAAACAAATTATATCCCCCATTGTAAAAAAAATTATCCTTTAATTGACAATTTCATGAAAAACAAAGTCAAACGAACACCAAAAAATAGAAAATTTCAACATTTTCCAGTGAAAATTTATATCAATCAAACACAATTAATTGACAATTTCCAATAAAACAAGTTCTAGGCAATTCAATTCTCTACAATTCGTTTTCTTTCCACCCAAATTCCATATTTGAATCAAACGGACCCTAAGTTCATAATTCGTTTATAGTGGATTGTTGACAGGCCAAGTATTCAGAGTTTTTACCCAATTGAAATTTTTCCGTGATCATTCTGGTTGAGTATTTATTTCTTTCATATAACTGCGACAATTCAATTTAGAAAAATTGACTCGATTGATTAACTATCTAGAGTAATTAATAGTGACTTGTTGCTAGTTAATTATTAATTTTTAATTTCGCTTAATCACCTATTCATCTCCCTCTATGTGTAATTTGGGTCAAACCTTGTAATTTCATCAAGAAAACTCACAAAAACATTGGAAAATATTAAAATGCCATAGCAAAACACAAAAGTATGAACCTTCAATTCAATTCTCTATAGGATTTTCTTCAATTCCTCCTAATAAACACCTTAGCGTATGTTCACAGAAAACAGGTGTTCCCAGCATCTGCTCCTAGTTAAATCCCTAAATTGCTACTTGACCTTTGGGTTTTTGTACTTCTCTCATATTTACAGCAGATGAAATAATCATAACTTACAGAAAGACATTTGTTAAATTAATTCCGAACAAAGAAGCTATTTTTCCCTTTTCATTTTCTTAATTTCCAAAACCTATATGATATCGGTAGGCCTTTTTTATATTTACATAACAATCCCCATAGAAGCACACAATTACAATTAACGAAACAAAAATGAGAGTACCTGAATTCCAGATGGATCCTTAAATCTTTCAAGATAGAGATAAAGAAACCCCTGGCTCGTTGCTTCTTATTCAACATTGACAAAACCCACCAGAGAGAATCGAAACTAAATGCAATAACACAAAATGAATAAAACTTCAATTTATTAATTAATAAAACTATACTATGGACACACGACCCGACATATTTCTCTATATATATAAGTGACTAACTTTCAACTTACACTCAAAAATCAGATGAAAATAAAATGATCAGGCTGTAGGCAATTACAACTGTTTGGTTACTTTCCTCATCAGGTAGCACAATAGCTTATTTATTTTGATGGAAGAGAGTGAAAAACACGAGAAACATAGCCGGGTTAATTCCAATGAAGAACAAGTTGAACAAAACAGAACAGCCCCAAGGAGAAGGGATAGAGAAAAAATGCTAATAGGCAAGTCCAGAAAGGATAACTCGTACTTGAGTATCCCAAAATCCCTACTACGGCACAGACCACCAAAACTGTTAGCACTTCAGCAGAATAATCCCATGGCAAGTCCTTTGCATATACAACTGCCAACAGTGTAGTCAAACCCGAGATGTTGTTCATTACAACTACACCATAAATCTGCAACCAAATGAAAAATGTTTCACTCGCGAGTCCTTCACGAATTCTTTATGAATGCTCTACTGTAATGTTTGTGTGTGTGCACATGCCTGCGTGGGGGAGAGAGAGAGACAGACCTCGGAGAATGTTAAAGATGCAGTTCTTTCACTCTTTTTACTGGCAGGAAATATAGCTTCTATTAAGGTTCTTGTATTCATGGCCAATGGCACTATCACGAAGGAGATGGAGTAAGAAGGCACCCTAATAGCATATGATAACTGTAGGATGCTAGTTGTGAGAGGTCCTCCAAGGAAGGTCAGTATAACAATACCCAACACTATTCTAAATACACATTTTACACAAGCCCACACGAAAGAGTCTTGATAAATGACTTTTTCCCATAAAATCTGCAAGTTAATGGCGGAAAAATGGAAAAAGATTAATTTTATTTGCAATGAAATCAGTAATTAGTACTAAGCATAACAGAACTTTTGTAAAATGTTGAATTTCAATCTCACCCTGTCGAATTCATCAATACTACTTGTCTTGTCCAAACAATCAGTAGCATCAATAGCTTTATCAACCCATTTCTTTAATCCATCAACAAATTCTGATTCATCAATCTTATGGTTATCATCTTTATCAAAATCTTTAAACAATTCCTTTATAATGTGCTCATAATTCAGTGCAAATCCATCAAATTTGATTGTACGAATTAGTTGCTCCAGCTCAGTTTTTGATATCTCGTTGTTATTGTCACTGTCGAATTTTCTGAAGAGACTGGAACAACAAAAAGCAAATTGTGAGAAAATTTTGTGGACACGAAGAAACTAACTAAAATAAATGGAATAGATAAGGTGAACTATGGAAAATTTACTTCTTAATGCTCTCAATGTTTGGTTCTCCATCTTCAGTGATCAGCGATTCTGCTTTAAGTACTTGATTTTCAGCATGCTTTAGAATTCTCGATATAATCAGATCAATCTCCTGGGGTTTATTTTCATTTATCTTATTAAACCGTTGAAAGTCCTGCAGATCAATCCAAATAAGAATTATATATGATGCATAATAATTACACTTGACAGCAGCTCGATGTGAAAGTACAAGTCGTCAAATTTTGCTAATGCTGGTGAATTATGTTTTATGATGGATAGAATACAAATAGGAGTTGGTTATATTTGTTTCATCCTTTAAAAAGAAAATAGATTTGCAGAAACGATACCAGTCTGAACTCATAGAAGCTCACAAGATAGAATCACTTGCATTAGCATCAATAGTTTCAAAAAAAGTATGATTTAGAAGCTTGCCTCATCGAAAAGATTTGTTGAAGAGGAAGATGAGTTTGTTTCATCTATCCATTTTTTGCAACCCTCGATGAATTCATGAACATTGATTTTCTCGTCCTTGTTAAAATCAAACGATTTCATTACTTCAGAAACAGCTAAATGTTTGTTAACATCCAACCTCCCTGTCTTCGCGACATCAACCGTCAGCTTTTCTAACTCTCGCCTGGTTATAGATTGGTCATTATCTCTGTCTGTTTCAGCAAATAATCTGCAAAAACAAGTACAGATGAGAGCCTTCATTGGACATGATTAGCAAACCTACATATTAATTTTGATTAAATTACTTTTTGATGACAGGAATGTTAAGTTTCCCATCTTCATTAACGAGTTTTCCTAGCCGTTCCATATGCTCCAAAAACCCTGTTCGCAAAATTTCATACTTCGAGTAGTCTAAACTTCTTTGCTGTATCCAAGGATTCAAATTCTGAAAAAGAGAAGAAAATTAACTATATTATACATTAAATTGTGTCGGACAAGGCAAGTATTGAAATGTATGAAGCTAGTAATAAAGGGCTTCCTCTGAATCATGCTACCTGATAGATGAAATATGAAACTAAAGATGCAGCAGACACTATGAGAGCAATCAAAATCACTATGTGGGATGTGTTGAAGATATCTGCTAGCTGCACAATAACGTAAGGAATCAAAGACAGAAGCATAATCCCCGCTGTATGACGAGTTTTTTCATCAATCGTAATACCGGTATCTGTAGGTAAGAAATAATTGTCAGCTCTTACATATTCAAATTGCAAACATCAACTTATTCTAGTGTAAGAGTCAAACCCTTCAATTCAATGAGTTCTTTTTTTACTCGATAGCAGCATGAAACAGGGGACTCTGAATTCTGAGGCGTTGAATCATGTCGCAATTTTCTCCCGCCAACAATCAGACATGTACCCCACTGCAAAGTGAGAGTAAAGACAGTGATTCCAGCATAAATACCCACACCAAGCGAGACTTGAGACTGAGCATTCTCTTTGCTACCGAAAACTCCAGATACTGCGAACAATGATTGTTTCCTTCAGCATTTAATAGAGTTTCTTAAATTTTTTGAATTTTGTTTAAAAATGAAAAAAAGGAAACTTCCGCATGAGTTTATCAAAGATTTTCGATTTCAAAAGATAAGTTTTTGGAAGTTTCAACATCGTCATATGCAAGAGCAAATTTAACAAATGTTTCAAAACTAATAATGCAAATTGTTGAGTTTCATAAAGAGAATGACAAGAAATCAAGGCCAAACAAACTGACAATCAACTTTTACTTACATATCACCATCAGCATAGCTGGTAACCCCGTGAGGATTCGGAAAATAATACCAACAATTTTGCTATTGCTGAATATATTAAAGAGCACCTTGCTCCCCTCGCTCAGAAGCTTTTCTCCAAATATCAGTAGACCCTGATAGATAAATATTTGAAAAATGTAACCTCCAGTATTTTCTGCACATGGTAAGAAGCCATATGTGTGCTGGCATGTGCTCGCAGATAGGAGATAACCATTTGTAGTAAGAGCTGGAGATTCACAGTCAACATGATCAATTCCATCAGAGATTAAATCAGTGGAGGCATTGATTTTAAGAATTCGGCCATGAACTGAGCTGATAAAAGAGACAAGCACCATAAAGGTTAAAATAACAATCTTTGGAGTCAAATTTTGCATATTGTATGGTAGAAGGTGAATGAAATTAACCATATTTTTTCGAAGATCAATTATGCAGTAATGTTTGTGCGGTGAAGGAAAGTGGAAGCCAGAAACGAACTTTTATATTGAAAATTATGAAAAAAATTTGGAAGATCAATTGCAGTAATGTTTGTATATTTTTGAAAATGGAAAATGTAATAATGGTCCACCAAATTATTGGTGTTAAAGAGTTGAATTTTCTAAGAACTGTATTAGCTATTACCATTGTTAGTCCATAAAAATGATTGTCCATTAGACCCAGATGACTGGAAAAAATTTCTATTGAATTGACGTTTAAATAGTTATTTTCAACTAAAAATGTGAAAAAACTATCAAATTTCCCCCACCGGAAGCCCACTGTTGCTGCCGAAGGATGCCTTCAACTAGGTGAACCTCTTGATGAGGTTGAAGGAGAATAGTCTTGTGGTTCCAGGGCGATCAACGCGTCAACATATCTCCAATTCTCTTCCATCATGTATACATTACATGTACATTTCACTCACATGTTAGAGTCATAGAACAATGCTTCTTCAAACAAAGGCGGCGGGGATGGGTGAGGGAGAGGGGTCCATGACGTTCGAGTCAATAAAGGAACATTTAATATGGTGTTGGAGAAATGCGAAAGGAAAAGAAATGCAGGAGTAGAGTTTGGAATTCTTTAGTCAAATTTATGATTACCTTCAAATGTTATCAAGTGTGTGTATTCATGGACAAATGAATGAATTTGAAATCTTTCGGAAGCTTGACAAGTGTTGTCAATGGGCCTAGCCGAGCCTGCTCGGCCCTTTAAGCCATGAGCTCGGCT